CGGAGGTGAGTGTCCGCCGCCGCCGCCGCCGCCGCCGCCGCAATGACGGGTTCAGGCCTCGGGCCTTCCCGGGGTTGGCCCCTCTTGGACGGGCGAGCGCCTCGACTGACGACGTGCGCTTCTTTTTGTTCCCCCTCCGCCTCGTCCCGTCTCATCTCGTCTCGCCCTGCTCCGCCCTGCTCCGCCCTGCCCTGCCCTGTCCTGCTACCCTGCCCTGCCCCTTCCCAACGCCAGTGAACGGCGCATCCGCACAGACGCAAGAGGACCTGCTCGCATGACGAGCACATCGCCACTTACCTGTTCGTAGGACCGAGTCGCACCTGCAACGATTCCACCGTCCATCTGCCCGACTCTGCAGGCCGCCTGTGCGGGGCGAGCTCCTGAGCATGGCGACCACGCGGCACCGCGCTACTTTTGCTTACCTGGACGACGTGCCGCAGAGGCAGAGTAAGTGGATGATGACGAGGACGGGGTGCCCGACCTGTTTGCGGGGATAAAGATGAGGAGTTGGTACAGGGAGAGGGGGAGAGGAAGAAGGATCGAGAGGGAGGGAGGGATGAGGGAAGGAGCGCGCGAGAGAGGGCGCCGACGCGCGCAGAGTGGGATCCGGACGCGCGCTGTCAGGCGGCGCTGCTGTTGGGCGGCAGGAAGCGGATGACCATGACGGAGGTGTTGTCGGTTGAAAAATTGTCGAGGGCGTGGTCGAGGAGGATCTTGGAGGCCTTTACGGGGTCCGGCTCGTCGATGACGAGGTCGACGGCCTCCTGGTCGTCTGTCACGTCCCACAGCTGAGAGCGGGCCGGCGCGCGGGCGGGCGGGCGAACGAGGAATGCAGGCAAGGTGGGTGGGGTCGTCAGTGATGTCTTGTCGGCGGGGCAACGGTGCGACAACGGCGAGCAAAGCCCGCCCGCGAGACTCACGCCGTCGCATGCGACGATGAGGAAGAGGTCGTCGTCGCCCAGGCAGGTCTCGGTCGTGTAGGGCGAGCCGACGACAAACTCCTTCATGGCAGAGTCGCCCAGCGATCGCGTCACCGCCAGCACGCCTGGCGAAGAGGGAAAGGGGGCCCGACAGAGTCAGACACAAGACACGGGGCGTCAGCTCGGCGAGATTGGGGCTTGCACTGCCCGAGCGAGCGGCCCTGGGCGCCATGGCGAACGGCACTCACCATTGACGCGGTTGTTCATCACAAAGCCGCCGGCATCCGTGATGCGCTTGGCCTCCTGGGCGTCGGATCCCTTGTGGTCGTACGTGAGGCGGATCGCCTTGCCACCTCGACTGCGGTGGGTACCCGTGGGGAGCGGAGAGGAGAGGTGCGGAGAAGGGCCGAATCGAAGAGTGAGCAGCCGCCCTTCGGCACCAGACCGGGCGCGGCGCTCGGGACACTCACCACAGCACCGCCCGGGCGTCTCCCACGTTGGCGGTATAGAGAACCCTTCTGGCCTTTGAGCTCTGAACCCTGACCAGGCCGTCGTCGGGCTCGCCGCTGTTGCTGCCGCCGCTGTTGGTCGAGTCGGCCGAGACCGACCCGGTGCTCGCCTTCATCTTCTTGGCCAGTCCGCTCAGCAGTCCGCCGCCGCCGCCTGCTCCTCCTGCTCCTCCCTTCTGCTTTTCCTTTGCGCCATCTTCGTCGTCGGAGTCTCTCGAGGTCGCCGTGGCAGTCGACGCACCCTCTGCCGCTCCGCCGGTCGAGGTCTTTTGGTGCTGGATGGCTGCGGCGTCGTCGCCCGAGACGATGCCGCCCGTCTGTGGGGACACCATGGGTTTGCCGTGCTCGTCCTCGAGGCGGAGGAGGGCGGTGACGGCGGTGCATCCGCTGGCGGTGCCCTCCTGTTTTGCGTTCTGGGAGAGCTGCTTGTCGACGGCGTGGAAGGTGAGGTTGAGGAGGTCGGGTACGGGCTGGTCTGGGTGGTTGCGGAGGGTGTGGATGAGGTACTCGTGGAAGTGGGCGCCGCACCACTCTGCGGCGTGCTTGCCCGCGTGGCCGTCGAATACGCCAAAGAAGCCCTGGCCGTAGACGCCGCCAAAGTCGTAGACAAAGGCGTGCGAATCCTCCATGGTGCGGCGCCACCGCTTGTTCTGGATCTCGGAGACGCCGACGCGGAAGGGGACGGCGGTGTGGCCCGAAGCACTGTTGAAGCCGGACGAAGCGGCGTCGGAGCCCAGGTGGGGCGAGGGATGCTGGTTGAGGGTCTGGCAGGGTGATTTCCGAGAGGAAGGGCGGGAGGCAAGTCAGATGGGGGAGGCATAGCTGCGCCGAGCTGGCCACGAGCCAGAGGGGAGGGGGGAAGGGGAGGATGGCGCGACGTACTCCGTGTGTGTTTGTGCCCGATGCTGTGCTCTGCGGGTGGGACTCTGCGTCGAGCGCCCCCTTTGGCGGGCTGGATGCAGGCGGGCGAGGTGGGACGAGGTCGAGGGCGGCCTAGGTCAGTGAGGATTCGTGCGGTGCAAGACGAGGGCGTTGCTACCTGGAAGCTCTCGGCGGCCACTCACGCATCGCGTGCCGTCATGGCGGCAACAGCGTCCGGATCGGGGTTGGATGTGTGCGGCAGCGGCCGTGAGGGTATCGGGTGGCGGCGGAGCGAGTGGCGGCCGACTTTGGGGGTGATCAAAGAGGATGGCCAGCCAGACGGCGAGGGACGGAGCGAGGAGCGACGAGGGCGAGGAACGCGAGGGTGGCTAGGAGCGTGCGTCGGGGGCCGCCGAGAGAGTCTTGCGGAGGGCCGGTGGCGAGCGGCGGGACGAGGAGGTAGGGAGGGGAGGCTAGGATCCGACGGGACGTGAGATGAGGTTGGTGGTGGTGTTGGGTCGACGACGAGGCGAAAAGAGAGATCTCGCAAAGAGACAGGCGCGGGCGAGCGTGTGGAGGATGCGCCCAGGGCCCTTGGTTGGCTGCACCCCAAACGAGGCCTGCCCTGCCCTGCCCTGCCCTGCCCTGCCCATGGCCCAGGACCCAACCAAGCGTAACCAGCGCACCCAACGCTGACTGACGCCCGCGTCTGACCGACGCCTCCCTTCTTGGCAGGCCAGCAGGCCCAACAGGCACGCAGGCAGGTGACGTCGCCTGGCCTCGCCTCGCCTCGCCTGGCCTCCTCGCCCCGCCCCACCTGCCACCTGGCCGTGCGTGCCCCAGGGTCAGGCAGGGTCGGCTGAGCCGCCAGGGTCGAATCGGGTTTGCCCACCGTATGCAAGTCGGCATTCCAGATTTTTCGCAACAACTGAACTTCGACGCGTGCTCGCAAGCCCTCCCCGCCACACTGCTCCAGCAAAACGTCGAGCTTCGCCGCCGGGGCCCGCCAGGCAGAATACGTCTCACCACTTCGAAGAATCCAGCCAGTCGATTTAAATCTCACCCGCGCCCACCCGCGCCCAGTCGTCGTCGTCGTCGTCGTCGTCGTCGTCGTTCCTGCTGGACCGAGCTGGCACACTCTTCCCGCTCCCCATCCAAGCTTCAGAGGGGAGATTCAGGCGCCTTCTGACGACGTGGCGAGGACGTGCGGGCGACCACGCGCCCACGGCCTAGCTGACGACCGCGATCGACTAGCATTGCACTGCGGCAAGAGCAGGCGGTAATAGAGCAACGTGGATGAGGAAGCAAAAAAAGTGTCTATGCGGCATCGTCTGTCCGTGGCCGCGGATGAGGCGGCAGAGGAGGACGAGGAGGAGGAGCAGGCTGGACCGCCGTCACAGGAACCGTGTCTGGTGGACGCGCGGGCGCTACCGCCGTTGCCGTCGCCGTGGCAGTCGGCGGCCGAGGGGTGCCAGCGCCGGGTGGCGGACGCGGTCTCCATCCCGTCTCGCTGTCCCACACCGCCAGCGTGTTGGTGAAGCCGTTGCGCAGCGCGCCCTCGTCGACCACGTCGTCGTCCTCGTCGAGCGTGACCACCTTTTGCGTCCCAACCGTGTTGAGGTTGAGGATCCACACGTTGGACCGCGCCGTCAGCCGCTCCAGCGACACGATCCGGCGCTGGCAGCTGCGCGTCGCTATGCACTCCTGCGAGTAGTTGTCGAAAAACGAGTAGAGGCCCGCGCCGTAGACGAACACGTCGGAGCTCGCGGCGATCCGCAGTCCGAGGCCGCGGTTCTGCGACGTGTCCCCGCCGAACCGCGCCAGGTCCGGATCGCC